TTCCACGCACATGCACTGCATTTATAGGTTTAATATGAATTTTCTTTGAGAATAATAATGCATACTATAAAAACGCTATTTACTTTTGAGAATTGAATTACTTTTCAGCATTAACATGTCTATAGTCCCGAGAATATAACAGATTCTTTGGTACATAGAACGCATTTTCTGTTGATTAAGAGAAGCTTGCGCCGAGGCATCACTTTCATTCATCATTGGAAGTCAACCCAACATGATGCGCTTGCCTGCCTAACAGTGAAACGGGAAATACTAAAGTTATCTTATGTCGGAGACGTTCTTCCAGTGATTGCTAATGATAGTCAGGTACTTCAATGATCTTGTGCCATCGTGGATTGGATTACAATTTAATATCAGGTTTAAGATGATTTATATTAGTTCATTCGTAAAATTCCTTGTCGGCTTGTGTGACGAAGTTAAAAATGTTTCATTCCAAGATAATTGTGTTTCATCACAATTCGTATATAATTCGTATGACTCATTTTAACATTCAATACTTTCGCTATGTTTATTTTTAGAGCATTTTCTCATTCATGAAAAAAATGCACTATTGTGCTCGCCATGTCCGTCTGTCCGTCCGTCTGTCCGTCCGTCTGTCTGTCTGTCAGTCCGTGACTTCACGTTTTCGTCGACGAGGAAATGCGCTCTCTGTCACTCACTGCAGTGAGTACAGTTATATTTTTTATTTTTATTTTATTTTTTATTTTAGTAAAGAATTTAAAAACTTGAATTTTAACAGTTTCGTTCCACTTAGCGGATCTGAGTAAAAAATTCATCGTCCGTGTGTAAATACCCGAGCGTCCTGCATGCTGGTGGTTCAAGTTTATGTTGCCGTAGCGGTCTAAGTACACTTAGCGGTCGATTTATCATCTGTGATTGGTGGGTTAACCTTGAAAAATTGACAGCGATTGGCTGACGGAGTTGCGAACTCGTAACTATTTATTTTATAATAAAAAGTGACTAGTATCTGTTCTATCGCAATCGTAAAATAACGTCTTTGATATGTGGGAAGCTACATCTTTAATTTAAGATATACGCATTTTGCCTCTTATACTGAGGCCTATTCTTCAAAATTGTTTTAAGTTCGATGTAATAATGTAGGAGGTCGAAAATTACAGCAAGTCGTAAAATTTAATGTACATTACGGACATGACATCTCACATCTATAAACCCCTAGAGCCTAGACGCTCCCTTGACCGATGCTATAGAGTCGCCTGCAAATAGAAAGGCCCAGCTTTGCTTACTGAGCCAACTTAGCGCTGTCAGGTGGCAATTTCCTCAAGCAACCGACGTTGTAAAATTCATTGTGTGTGGAACGGACTTCCCTTGAAAGGGAGAATGGACTGGCGTCATTATTAGAAGATGTTATAGCGAAATTATAAATAGTTGTTCATTGACGGTTAATGAAACTGTTTCTGAATTGTGTTTAAACCAGTTTTTTTAGACGGTTTTAAACTCACAATCGAGCTTTTTGAACTATTACTACACAAATTTTAAACGGTTAGTGTTCTTTTAACGGTTGATCTCATTTAAGCCGCAAATAATAATTAAGTATTAAGTAAGTTAATCAATTCAACCACACATTGAGTCATTGACACTAGCAAGATGCAAACACTGTGTATAATTTAAGCAAGGGAAACTGAGAAAATAATCTAATTGAATTAATGCAATACGCAATTTGGTTTTCTGCTTTCTTCTTTGAATGAAAATACCGACTGGCCTTGTTTTCTTGGCCTTGATCACATTTTATTTAGAATTCACATTTACCTGCATGTTTACTGATGAGTACTAGTCAATAACATTGATTTAGTAATGAGGAAACAGGTTGGCATATACTATAGGAAACGCCGCACGCAATATAAGGAATATTATTAATTAGTACCAGGCCGCGTTTAAATTATTTTCACCGGCTCTCGATCATTTGCATTGTGCCATATTTTCAAAAATTGTCAAAATCAATTCTTTCAGCTCAAAGTGAAGTTTCAAGATGTTGAGAAGTATAGCGATTCCCAAAAGTTCTGAATACGTCATAACAATTGAATTTAGCCAAACGCAAACACTGCAACCGATTTTAAGATGCAATTTGATTATGTGATGCAAAGACTTCATGATCTCAGAATTTAATAACGAATTTCCTCTGTATTAATCTGAAACGTTTTCTGCATGATTAAACTACAATGGCCAATGAATAATTTTCTAACATATTTCATCAGTACGTTTATAATGAACACTAACAAGTAATCAAATACGAGATAATATCAGTTATTGTTGTGACAAGTTGTATGAACCACCCTATAAACAATAAAAATTTTGAGTACTCAATAAGGATTTCGAATTATTTCGAAGTCATGATAGATGGCAAATTTCTCAAATCGCAATTCAATCAATCTCTTTCAAATTTTAATAATGTAATTATAGTTCTTTTAAAGGGTAGGAGCGTTGAATTATCGACGTACGTCACGGCTGATGCATTATTTTTTTTTATATACAGAAAACACAGCGTTTCTGTGATTTCATTTACATGCATACATTTACATTTTTGAGTATATATATATACATTTCACTCAAGATTAAGACTGCTCCTCAATTCAAAATCTATTGCTTGAACTGCGATTGAAAGCCATTTGTCAGTTCATGCCACGTGTACTGCGTAATGTAGCGTGTATATAATTAGCGGAATACCTAATCGCAATAGCCTTGAAGCAAGGCATTCCTGCAAGTTGCCTTTTATAAGTGCTCAAGACATTTTTTCTTTTAGTTTCTGGGAACTTCCATCCAGGTTCACGGATCTGACGGCATGGCTAAGATGCCTTGCCAAAGCGGAAAAAATTGTACCTTGCTATTTTTTTCACCCTGGACATTGTTATAGCAATATGCACATGGTTAATTTAAAAATAAACATAATACAAGCACCTAAATTTGGGCCTTCAACCCCTAACATAGCCGGTGTTATGAAAGTCTTAAACAACATGAGATTTTAGTCTTTTCCGTAACTTGAATTGCAGTGTTGATTATAACATGCATATTCAGACAACTTAAATTCAGGAGATTTATCCATAAAATCTTCGTCATATTTTAATGGATCTGATAATATTGAAGATGTTTTTAATCACTGAAGATACTCAAGACGATACTTTGAAAATAAAACAATTCATACTTTGCTTGAAAAACATGACGATACATAATGGACGATCCTCATAATGCTTCTGACCAAACAAGCTTCAGCAATGTCGTGTAATTTATTGTGCGGGATTCCGATTTGAAAATCCCAAGCGATTCTAACCATTTTATCAGTCAATCAATTCAAAACATTTCCGCCATCTCATAAATGTGATTAATTGGCATTCCCCCAGCAATAACATAAAAAAGTTAATGCGCTGCGGTGGTCGATCGAAGAGTTATTGTAAAATCAATGAAGCTTCACGAACAAACAACCAACATATTATAGATTTAATATATAACAGCAGTTACTCTCAGAACATCTGGAGAGGCGATTCACGAGTGTTTGGTCACACTCATGTCCTTTAAATATATGAGTCTCAATTTACCTTAACGTAGCAAGCTTTGAATTTCATTTAATCACTTGAGTGTCAAATTACAGGCATAAATTATGTTCACACAGTAAATTTGCAGCAAATTTCCAATTTACTGATATGAATTTAAGGGAAAGTGGAACAATTAGCGGCATCAAACAACACTATGATAAACGTTGGTCTCGACGATGTTGTATGCAGCGGTACTAGCCCTCGTTCTCGCAGATCTGTGATGATTGCAGCAGTTGTTCAAATGCTGAACTGAACATTATGACTTCTGTATTTTGGTGCAGTACATTTCAATAGTTTGCGGCTGCAGTTTACTCGCCAGTTTTCGAGTGCAGTATATTGGACAGTTTCTGATGCAGTGTATTTGAATGATTCCGGCGATGTAATTTTGTTTGCTAGTGTGGCAGTACATTCGAGCATTTCTAAGGGTGCGGTGTGGTACATTTTTTTTACAGTTCCCGCAATTTCAAGTCAAACAGAAGATATGCTAACGAGACTCTTCCTGTGCATTGTACAGTAAAGAACACAAGTACAGTCAAGGAGACAAGTACAGTAAGAAAACACAAGTACAGCAAAGAACACATGCAGTCAAAAATACAAGTACAGTCAAGAACACAAGCGTGCCTTCAGTCAAGACTGTCCACTTCAAGTCACGCGGATCAATGTTATGGTATCTTATGAAGAATCTTTGTTGCAAGGCTCCTGCTTAGGAAATACAGATATCGATATACGTATATATATTTCTATGTGAAATTAAATTTAATTGGTATATTGTGAAATGATATATTTAATAACGGTGATTTAGATATAATTTTCATATGTACAGAAAGTTTAACATATTTTTCGATCTGAAGTTGTGTTCTTTTGATTGCCACTAATCATGTCCCGATAATCAGTACAAAATTTTCAAACAACCAATACTAATAAATGTAAATAATATTTACTGAATAACTTGACCTTTTTGATTTTCTCCTAATATTTCAATAGGAGTTCTTTGCTGGAGGACACTACTGGAAAAACTGGGATTCTAAGCCATAGCATCGCATGCTATAGGACCATTTATTGGGTTCCCCAAAGTTATTTATTATAAGAACGTTGAAAAAAATCATCGTATAAATAATCAAACGAAAAATGTGTGAATCAAATTCACCAATAGCAACACAGTCGTTCCTCTAGAACGATTCAAGAACCTCCATTAATAAGTGGAATAAGCAAAATGTTATGAAGGACATAATTGATCGGTTGAAATTGAATATGTACACGTGGGTTAAGAATTTCTACTGTTATTTGTTGTCAAGGCATTTGCATGTATATCATCTATACGTATTACTGCTAAACATTCCACAGCCGTAATAAGTACCTTTTTTTTCAATCCAATACTTATCCGCCATTTTTACTTTAGCTTCCTTTGGTGTTTTTTTTTCATATGCAGTTTTTTAATAATAGAAGTCGTACGCTATCATCAAATTTTGAATATCTGTTTTGGTGATCGCATTCCCCGAATGTTTTTCCTGACTCATTATTTTTGGGAACGCTTGCATCCATCATTTTCATTTCAAATAAACCAAGCTGGATGAGAACGAGATGTCTTGGACAATTTTTGAACAAATTTATTAAAATAGTACATGATTGTTCACTATACAGATATAATGGGTGGGTGGTAGATAAAAATTCGAAAGAATTAAGTTGAAAGTTTATTTAACTTGAAGTTGTTTTCGAAGAGGTTGCCAAATTTATGGCTGGATAAATTTTAGGCTTACGATGGCAGACAACCCAACATTCATACCGGACGAGGTGGGTAAACTTTGTGTAATATTCGCAATAATGTTTGAAATTTAATGCATAAACACTTGCATATGTTAAGATTTTTGAGTAGATGAATAAATTTTTCGATAAAATTATTTAGTAAGATGAGGGTAGATCCAGGTATATTTTTTTCAGTTTCGCACGCTTTTATCCTCAATGTACAGAATCAAAAGAATTGATCTGTTAACGATGCTGGTGGTAAACCTGCAAGTGTATTATAGGCTCTAAATTAACGGAACTGAAGAAATTTTTCTTAATTAAATCCGATGGGTTTAAAAACATTACAGAAATTTCATAATAATTTGATAATGCGAATGCAACGTACCCATAGAAGTTCTTCGTTTTTATTTCATCAATTGAAATTAATTGCATCCAATCATTTGATTGAAGATAATTTTTACGAATCTTCCTGAAGCCAAAAAATTATTCTCAAAGCAGCCACACTAATAACAAATTTTGGTAATGAAAAACCTGTCCTGTATTAACATTGAAATAACGAAAACAATGATCCCTTATGTTACTCATTACTCTCACAACAGAGAACAATAGAGCCAGAACTACACGTGGCAAACAATGTAGTACGTCCTTCACAACAACAAAACAGAGGAGGAAAACTACCAGCCAAAATCCTCGACAACAACAAAGAAAATGGCACGCGTTCTCAATATCCTGACGAGATCACGTCTGTGACGATTGAGGACACAAGTGTTCGTGACGATGCACATGATCAGGCGCCGAATGGTCAGGTCACTGAAGATGCAGACTCTAATGGTCAGGTCATTGACGATGCAGACTACGTACCTGAACCTCTCCTCTATTCGATCGAGGATAGCCCGCCGTGGTATCTATCCCTGTGTCTCGGCTTTCAGGTAAGAACTAGGATTAAGTTTATGATAATATCAATTAAATATATTTGATGGCGGGTATTAAAATTTTATTTAAATTTCATGAATTTTTCTGTACTTTTGAAAAGTCAATACGGGTGTAAAATTTTGTGTGCATAGGCAAATTTTGTTGGTGGGAGAGAAAGCTGAAAGATATTGTTGCATATTGTGCAGTTAAAGATATTGTAGTGTATACTTTCCACACAAAAATTATTTTATGTGCCTTTTTATGCAGTGGAGACACGAATTTTATATGCAAGGTTTCAATACATGAATGTACGCATGCCGCGAGGCTTACAGGTCTAAAGGTCTGATTTGAGATCGACACTAGAATTCCAGCTCGGTATACAAGAGGGTAATTTAAAACAGGTTTGCTAGAAAAAATTTGTCTATTAAATTTGACAAGTTCTTTTGATTCCAGCTCAGTATACAAATTAATGGTTAATTTGAAAACAGGCTTGATTGAAGACAAGAGAATGTATTCTTTTAAAGATAATATAGTTTAAACCTGTTTGAAAGGAACAAATTCAGCAACCCTTTCATAATAATATAGTAACTTTAGTATCTATGATACAGCACTACCTCACGATGGTGGGAGGCACCGTGACCATCCCCTATCTGTTGACCCCGGCGCTGTGCATCTTGCCTCACGACCCAGCCCGAGGCTACATTCTCTCCACCATCTTTTTCGTGTCCGGGATCGTCACTCTCCTGCAGTCAACTTTCGGCACAAGGTTAGTCCTTCATATAGGGTCTATTAATTTTTCTGATTGCATGTATTCTAAAAATTTGTATGTGTTGTAAGATTTTACTGTTATGTTGCCTGATGAATTTTTTCTTATTTCATATATAAGATAATATTTTTTATACATTTGATTGGAAAAATAGTTATCTTTACTGAATATAATTTTTTTATATTTATTTTGGTTGATTGATAAATTCTCAGGTAGGTAACTAAAAAATAACATTGGTTATGGACGTTGGTCTAAGTTTGCACACATAATTTAGACAACTTTTATTGAATGAGATAATTACCCCCTGAAGAACATTGTACAATGTATGAAATGTTAGAAACTTATAAACTTTTTTACAGTCATCATTCCTCTCTCCGGATTATTGAACTTCACTAAATGAAGATTAATACCAATATGGGTAATTTTGATAATATTAATAATAATCGTGATTAACATCGGTAGTAAAATTTTCTCACAGACTGCCGATAGTACAAGGAGGTTCCTTTGCTTTCTTCGCGCCGACCTTCGCGATCCTTCATTCGAGTTTCGCGTCCTGCACGAGCGTCAACATGACGTCACTGACCCTGGAGGAGCAGCAGGAAGAATGGCAGATGCGCATGAGAGAAATACAGGGCGCGATCATGGTCTCGTCTCTGTTTCAAATAATCATCGGATTTACAGGTTTCAAAATGAATTTATTATTATGATAATTTTGATAATTCCAGATTATCTTGTGCAAAAGCGGTTGCATTCTATAATATAAAATTTAGTTTAAGTGAAACGTAATTCATTCCATATGTCAGTATTTTACGGATGATAAAATAATCATCGGATTTACAGGTTTCAAAAGGAATTTATTAATATGATAATTCTGATAATTCTAGATGAACTTGGGACATAAGCGGTTAGAATATTGCATTTTATAATGTAAAATATAGTTCAAGCGAAACGTAATTTATTCTAAATGTCAGTATTTTCCGGATGTTAAGATATTCATCAGATTTACAGATTTAAAATAAATTTATCTCTTGTGATAATTCTTGATGGTTTTGTGCAGAGCAGTCAAAATTTGGCATTCTATAATGCAATATTTAGTTTCAAGTGTACCGTAATTCAATCTGAATGTCCGTATTTCATTTTAAAATACTAATCGGATATACAGGTTAGTAAAAAATTTACCGTTTTCACTATTCCTGGTAACACTGTTCAAAAAACTTTCGAGGAGTTCGTTTCTTTAGAAGCTAAATTGCAAGGTTGAATATGAATTTTAACTCATATAAATTAAAACTATGCGTGCCTTTGACATCCTCAATCATGACCCAGAAAGTGCATAACTCCTAAATGGGTAAGGTGTTGTACACTCCTTTTGTATTGTGGTTTTAGTATTTTGATTTTACCGACACTGCATTCGGAACGCTTAAGCTCCCATACTTAAATATATTAAATATACATTTCCTCTACTTCAGTCATCGGTATACTTCTTAAAAGTATGCTCTAATTACAACAGTCAGATGTATTCCATTGTATTTAGAAAATTAATGAGGAATTTCATCGCAAAACAAATACAATTCGCTAGACACTTGCACTCGGCAACGCATGGCGAAAGATAAAATTTAAATTTCTAAAATTTCAATACTTCTAAAACTTAAATTTCTCACAAGTTTTCGGCACAGGGTGTCCTTAGTGTCCTAAAGATACTAAATATTTAAAATTTAATTACTTTTAAAATTTAAATTTCTTACAAGTTTTCGGCACAGGGTGCTCAAGCCAAATAATTTACTAGTAGCTCTGGAGACAAATCTATGGCAGCAAAGATGCCATTCTTAAACAAGGACTCTATATAAATAGCGACGATGTCTGCTGTCCTACCTATGCGTTTTTAGACAACTTGGCATTCGATCTTCTTCCTAAGCTTAAATTTTTACGTGGCTATTGAATACATTCCGCAGTGTGTAGATTATACTAAGGACATCCTCATTCATAACAAGAAATAATTTTGCATTCATACAATAGTTATTTGTCCTAATAACAACAACCTAATTATTAACATTTTCAGGGCTGTTTTTGTTGGAAAAGTTCACTAGGTAACTCATGTTGCTCAGTATTCAAATAACGACAAGAATTGTGGAAGAAACTGAATGCAACAGAAGTGCTGACTCATCACTTTTGAAAAATCCAAAAGCTTTATAACAACTGATTATATTTTTTATACGCTAGAAATTTCATCGTGATGTACCCAATATCAGTGCTATAATATTAGGAGATATTATTCTCTTAGGAGCCACAAGGCTCGGGAAGTCTTTCGATCCCAGCATCAATTTTTGATATGCTTGTCACACTAACTTGTTATGAAGACTAGACATTCGCAGACACTCATTGGACATGGCCCTAAAATATTTAAAGATTCACATGTTCCTGCGCCGATGCCGAAAATTTGAACATTCTTTTAAACTATGCGAAGAATCGATGACTTACACAGTTGGAAGGTTACCAGAAGCAATGCAGATGTCTGTTCCCATAAAAACCCTACAATTTTCTTTCCTGCCTTGAAGCAAAGACTTTTTATCCCATACTTATCATTTTTCCTAGCAAACCCTACACTTCGGCACCCAATCATAATATGATTCGTTCATCACACCCCTGGCGATCGTGCCAACCGTTTCACTCATCGGTCTCTCCCTCTTTGAAGTGGCCGTGGACAAAGCTTCCAAACACTGGGGCATTGCTGTCTTGTGAGTCACGTCTGAGTGAAATAGTTACTAGGTTACTCATGGAAATTTAGTATTGTATAGGGTAATACTATAGTATTCGACTAAAGGTAATAACGAACAGTTGCATGATAGTGAAAAATAAAAAAATACTGTCGCACTCATTCAAAGAAATTAGTACATTGTCATGATTATCTATCATTTAATTAAATTCCATAGATGGCCAGTTTTGTGATTTTTCTTAATTTACTTTCATTCTATTGACTCACACTTGACCCACGTGAAGAATTATGACGTAAATTACGAAATACATGTTTAACGGAATTCTGAAATTTCCCATAGTTTGAATACTACCGGTTTTCAGGACCATCGTACTAATGGTTCTATTCTCGCAATATCTACGCGACGTCGGCATTCCTTTTCCAGCCTGCAGTAGAAAAGGCATCTACTTCAATAACATCAGGATATTTGGACTGTTTCCTGTGAGTATTATTTTCCTTCCTTGATTCATATGTAATTTCAAGATATCGAAAAACAGTGCAGCAAGTATCAAGGAGCAGTGAAACTCAAACACATTTTATTATTTAATTTTGATTTGACTCTTGTTCTTCTTGTAGAGCGTTTTTGCACTAAACAACTAATTTATCAAGCCCACTGAGCTAGGAGCAAACAGAATATCCATCTCCATTAGAATCCATCTAATCCTCCTCCATCTCATAGAATCCTCCATCTGCATTAGAAGGTCTCGTGTAAGGGATTGCCCCTTATACAGTTTACTATGCTTTCTGATCACGCATGGACTGACGCGGTAAGATCCCCGCCATTCGAAGAAACGTTGGTATATGACATCACAAACATGCACTGGGACGATTGGCCATTGTGTGTTACCGTCACCATACTCTTAACCTACATGTTCAAATTCATATAAAAGATTGGATTAATATTATTTTTTTTAATTCTAAGATTTCTAACGTGAGCCCATTAGCTATTTCTTAAAAAAACGAATTTGGCACCGAACATGCACTAGTTGCTACATCATGCTATGACTACATTATACATTGTAATGTCAAATACAGAAGCTTGATGATCATCTGTTGTGGTGATCTCTTGATTTGCTGGTAGCTTTAATAATATCAAACAAACCTTGCATGATTCGCTAAAGCATTTCTGAGCTGTTTATATGTGGAATTATTCCTGAAGTACTAGAATACATACAAGAACTTGAGTTGCGCAACTCTGCCCCTAAGCCGAAAATAAGCACATCATGCAGCTACCTTAATTCATAACAAATTTTAAGGAAATTGCTTGAAAATAATTTATTATTATTTTTACAAATGTTATAGCTGTTTTAAATTTTTGTTCCAGCTTCTGATAAACGGCTAATGTAAAAAATTTTAGTACGGTAATTTTTTGTTATTGTGTTATTTCGAGAATGAATTATTAAATGTATATGGGAGCCTGCATGGCCAACGTAGCTTTGTTTGCTTTTAAAATTTCTAGCAAATTTCCTAAAGATAAACCATCGTTCCTCACTATATCATAACATTTCTGGTGGCTAAAAGTTTTTTATAACGTGAATACTAAATGATCTCGACAATTCTCTTGCTCCTGCAGTAAAACGGCTAAAAAATATTTTAAAAACCTCAAAATCGAATCGTTTATTCTTTGTCTGCACCTCAAAATCAACCCGTATCTTCCATGTCTGCACCTCATAATCTAACCATCTGCCAATTGACTATCTTTATGCAGGTGCTCATTGCAATTCTGTTGTCATGGGCGTTTTGCGGCATCCTTACAGCCACCGGAGCCCTGTCCGAAGACTCGGCCGCTCGAACAGACAAGGTACGTAACTCCACTTAAGCGACCTCCGAGCTGAGGTAAAGTACAACTTCTCATAAGTAGCTTGACGTGAAAATTATTTTATAATACCACCGTTTAGAGTTACGTCTACCAAGCAGTACTTGCGTATTACATAAGTCGCTACTTGTAACTAGCGATTTTTTGATAATCCGGCCCCGTATGCGTAACTCCATATGCGCAACCTCAAAGCTGTCGTAAAGTTAATTACAGCTTCTCGGTTATAGTTCGGCGCCGAAATCTTTTAATAAAACCACTTTTTTGAGTTGAGTATTAGCGTGTACTAAGCGATATTTTGATAATTCGGTCCCAGGGGCCATACTTTCAAAAAACTCGCTAAGTGAACTGAAGTACTTACGCTCTATTTTCTTGTCTATGATTGGGGGATTTTACTGCAAAGGCAGTCAATGATTGGCATATGAAAATACGACATCCTAATTTTTTTTTAAAAGTATAGGCCCAGCCGCTTAACTACACTTACGCAACTTCCGAGCTGTCATAAAGTTAATTAAAACTTCTTGTACGTAACTTGACACAAAAACGTTTTGATAATAACACCGTTTGAGTTACGTTGTGAGTAACTACACATAGCCGTTTCGAGTACTTACGAAACACGTAAGTCACTACGTGTACTTAGCGGTGTTTCTATAATCTGGCCCCAGGCCTCGGAGCTGATCGCCAACAGCCCCTGGATCCGCATCCCCTACCCCGGACAGTGGGGGACTCCCACCGTGTCCGCTGCAGGAGCCTTCGGGATGCTGGCTGCAGTCCTGGCGTCCATCTTGGAAAGCACCGGCGACTATTATGCTTGTGCCAGACTTTCAGGTTAATGGATTTGAAATATCATTAAAAAATAACATATTTTAGTTATTTTGCAAGCAATAAAGTTGCACATGATTGTAGCGCAACTACGTTAGCGTAGGTACTGTTCCAAATCTCAATTCCGGGGAATTTCGTACCCTTTTCTGGTCATTGTTTATGGCTAACACGAAACTTATACTTCCACTTTCCAGGATTATCTGCCTAATTAAACTTTGAATAAGATTCGAACTATTTATACGCCAGGTGCTCGAAGAAAATCCTACCTCTGCGGTATCCATTACGATTTTAGCTAGAATAAATTTAAAACCACTTCATCATTTTACACCGTCTTTATTAGTCTCTTGGAAATTCTTCATACGCTTAACTTAAATCGGCGTACTCCAATAAATTCGTACTTTTATTTTAAAGTTAAAAGTATACACAATCTATTAGGAAATATCAATGAGTGAGATATTTTCCCTTATATTTTCCTGCTGTAGGAGCCCCACCACCTCCACGGCACGCCCTCAACCGGGGCATCGGCATCGAAGGCATCGGCTGCCTCCTGTCAGGAGCCTTCGGTACCGGCAACGGGACCACCTCCTACAGCGAGAACATCGGCGCGATAGGCCTCACTAAGGTAAAAAAATTCATTCGCTTAGGATCAAAAGCGAAACAATTTTCGGGAGAGTTGTACACTCACGACGGGGAAGTCGGTGCTATCAACATTGACGAACTAATGCAAATTCAGATTTGGACCGTTGTTAAATTATTAATGGAAGATCATGCTCTTGTGAGAGGAAATCGGTGTCAATATTCTCGACGATTTTACACACTATTATGCTGAACTCGAGTCGTACTCTAAGCCTATTTAATTAAAATCACCCGAAATTGATCGCTCAGTATTTACATGAGCAGAATTAATTTCGTTGCCTTCCGCGCGATAGGGTTCCGAGTTTTTGTCGCTATGACAAAAGGGTGTCGCAGGGTGGCCCATGTCGCAGGGTGGCCCAGTGGTTACCGTTCAGGGCCCATACATTAAAAAAACTTAGGAGATCGTAAGTTCATCAGCCAATCATTGACGGCCTGTCAAGCAAAATCCACCAATCAAAGACATGAAAATAGAGCGTATATAAGTACTTATACGTTCACTTAGCATGTTTTGAATGTTGGGCCCAGAGTACCAAGATTGGCGCAGGTAGGTTTGGGTTCGATTCCAGCTCTGTGCGCCAGTTTCTGGTCACAATCGGCAAGGAGGCCGGGCGGTTAAGCCCAGCAGAATTGTAGCAGTAAGTTGTGAGTTCGAGACCGCAAAATGCTGTGAATATTCTGCCATGTTAAGAATCGGCGATAAACCTAAGGCCTACTAAACGCTGAAACCGCTATTATGAATAACTTGAAGCTAGGTGCGAGTAATTTCAAATGTATCTTATGAAATTCATTTAGAGTTGCTCGAATATGATCGACGAAATACCTCGTCATGTTAGCATGGCTCCATGAAACATTTCGTTTCTAGTCGTTTAATTGCTATTACGGCTCATATAATAAATATTTATAAATTAGTTCTATCGACGTTGTAGATTAGTTCAAGTTTGGCTTGTCACCGATTCTTGACGTTTCAGAAATTAAACTACTTAAATGGTGCATTTCCCTCAACTCACTGCTCCAATCATGATTTTTTACCCCCCTCCCTCCGGCCACCAAGCGTATTTCGATCACGGTTTCTACAGCTATCTGAGTTATAAAACCACAATTCAAAGCTCAAATCTTATTGATCATGATTTCCCGGCCACTCTAGAAATAGAATATATAAATTCCCGAAAAAATGAAATTTTTCTGGTCGGAAGTCGACGGGTGTTTCAATTCGGCGGGGCAGCATGATCGTGGTAGGAGTCTCGAGGAAATTTTCAGTTATACAAGACAGGAACCTGATTTTTTGCAGGTCGGAAGTCGACGGGTGATCCAATTCGGCGGAGCAATCATGATCGTGGTGGGAATATTAGGGAAATTTTCGGCTGCGATCGTGACAATTCCAGAGCCCGTAGTGGGCGGCATCTTCTGCGTGATGTTCGCCATGATCTCCGCGGTGGGACTCTCCGCCCTCCAGGGCGTCAACTTGAACTCGTCCAGAAATCTTTTTGTCCTGGGCTTCCCGCTGTTTTTCGGGCTGGCGCTTCCCAAGGTAATGTGTTAATTACACTAATGTGAGTCTTTTTCATACCATGAATAATTTATATGATTGAATTATATTTAATTTAATACTATTATTTCAGTGGCTTGAGGAGAATCCCGACGCCATACACTCGGAGACTGTGCCGCAGCTGACGCAGGTTGTCGCGGTTTTGCTCAAGACTTCCATGTTCGTGGGGGGATTCTTGGGCGTCTTCCTGGATAACACTATCCCAGGTGCATTGATGTATTTCAAGTTTTAAACTACGCATATTCAGTTATGTATATGTGCATTGAATATGTATATTATAATTATCTTCAAGGATAGGTAAATTTCGTGTAGAATCTCATTCACGGCTGCTGACTCTCTCGTGAAACGTGTAATGTTTGGTGTTTGATGATGTTTGGTGTGAAACGTGTAATTATACGAAATTCATGATTTTTTACTCTTTCTTGAATTATATGCTTCTAATTTTATGAATTGAGCCATAGAAAAATTCTTTATTTGTTACCTATTGGTTTGAATAAGATAAGATAGCCTGATTCCTTATCCTTGCTCCAACAAAAAGCAACAAACTACAAAGTTTATTCAAGTTTAAATCAAAACCTTATATATCGGCAGTAAAAATTTCTTAAACAATTTTCTATCTTTACAAAAACGTGATGATTGCAAAGAAACTTAATTCATCATTGTAAAAACGTGATGAGATTTAAGTTTCTTTGAATTGAACTAAACGAAGGCTACAAACGTAGTTTGTTCACACTCACAAGAGGGCGGAGTAAGTCATTATCCCATCAGACAAACGACGTTAAATCAGCGTTGAAATAAATGTGTTTTGATTGAATCAATGTTGATTAAACGTTGTTTCACCATCGTTTGCCTGGTGGATAAACTCGTTCATGCAGGCAGCGACAAGGAGCGAGGTTTGGAGCAGTGGAAGGCTGACCTGAAGGCTTCAGAAGGTGAAAGCACGGACGCCACAACCCGAACTTACGACCTCCCCTTCTGCATGCCTCTCATTAGAAGGTGAGCCTTCAGGCCTGTTTAACAATTAACAGGGCTTGTTTAATAATATTATTTCTAATTAATATTATCGACGATGAAAATCTGACTGGGACCCGAACTTACGACCTCCCCTTTCTGCATGCCTCTCATTAGGAGGTGAGTCTTCCCTTGTCAGGGCCTGTCTACCAATTAACGGACCTTGTTTACTGATATTAAATAGTAACAGGCTTGTTTACTAATATTAAATAGTAACAGGGCTTGTTTACTAATATTATATAGAAACAGGGCTTGTTTAATAATATTATTTTTAATTAGTATTATTGACGATGAAAATCTGTCGGGACCCGAACTTACGACCTACCTTTCTGCATGCCTCTCATTTCGAGGTGGATCAGGGCCTGTTTAACAATTAACAGGGCTTGTTTACTAATATTATATAGTAACGGGGCTTGTTTAATAATATTACTTGAATCTAATATTATTAACGATGAAAATCTGACGGAGACATTGCATTGGCCACTAGTTCGTTTGACACTGCATGCTGTTAACTTACATTTATTAACGATAAATGTTCGTACATTCTCCATAAATTCTCATCCGTAAAGCACGAATCATTCACAATGCTAAACAACTTTATTATACTCAAAGCTTCTTCATCAAGATTTATCCTCATTTATCATTGATCAACCGAACCGCCTCCATATTGCAAAAACTCTTACAAAAGTTTTAACAATTATAAACTACCTGTTAACTCCTAAATAAATAATATTAATTTTAATGATGTCCAAATAATGGAAGAATGATTATCGTTGATGCTAGTATTTAGTTTTAAATCAACGTATCTCAAAGACAGAGCAACATCATTTATTAAGCCCAAAATTTTATTATGCCTTCCAAAAATAGAAAACATTCACCGTGAAGGTCTCAACTGTGGCATTAACCAAAACACATTCACAATTATCCTATTAATTATTATTAATTATATTAATTTTATTCTCCAGAATACCTTTCCTGGAGAAAGTGCCCTTCAGCCCCACGTTCAAGAAGTGGACTTTCAAGAAGAGCTCGTGACGCCGCGCGAGTGCCACTTACAAGTCCAGTCTACACTCAAACAAATAAGAGAGACTTTGTCCTTTTTGCGAAGTACTTTTGGCCCTTGATTGTTTCCCCCCTGACGCAGTTTGGCCCAGCAAAATGACGTATCTGTGCTACGTTCGTTCTCTGTTCCTGCTGTCGCTACTTGGACGATGTTATCCATTCATTTTTCTCAGGGTTTATTTTGGTATCATTTAATTAAATAACCGATTACTAATTCACTTTTTTAACCAAAATAGTTTATTCGTTGCTTAATGAGCCTGAAAGAAACGGATGTCTTATGAGGATTTCCAGCACTGAAAATTTGTGACAGGAGCTATGGAATTTTTTTGTCTGAAATTTGTCCGAATAAAATATTTTATTTTCTGCCGTCAGTGCGGGCGTGTCTGAACCTGCGATCCCTGGAAATGAAAATTTTCTAATAAATGTTATCGCATCATGCAAACAATGTTTTAAAATTTTGTATGACGGCAATATTAGGGATTTTATTAAGCTTTTTCAATAAAGACGTACTAGGGTGTAAATGTAGTATTTTAATACGATAACAAATATCGTGCCTGCGTACATATATTGTAGCTGAACGAGTAGCGTCATTGTTTTTAATTAAAAATTCTGCACTCAGAAAAATTATTAGATCAGAATGTCTAAAAAGTGCTATGATTTCTACACGTAGCAATGATACGCTCCTTTCTTGGCCAAGCCGGGTCAGAGGCGTATAAAACTGGGCCAAACATTTGTCCTAATTATATAGAACATATAAAAAACAAATATGCATAAATCAAAGTAATATCTCACTTAGTACAACATCTTCTTTAGTTCATAAGAATTGCGGTCGTCGATCAATTGAAGCAGCAGAAGAAAAATATATTTTCATTATATATTATGCAAGTTTGATTGAAGACCAGGATAAATAAAGATTTATCCTGGTCTTCTTATCCTTTCTCTGTTATTTAAAAACTTGCATACAAAAAGTGCTTCTGACGAGCCGAAGCATGCAACATTATATTTTCTTTATATACTGTGTTTTCTACAAATATTATATTTTCCATTCACATATTAAATTTCTACATATATTACACTTCACATATATTATATTTCATAAAATATAATGTATTTATTTATATTATATTTTATATTCTATAAAATTTTATATAAGTAAAATATATATTATGATTCGTAAAAATATCATGTATGATCTTTATCATCATAGCAAAAGTGGTAATTGAAAAATTACAGTAATTTAAATTATTGTTAATATAGTTAAATTATAGCATCAACCTCCAATATTTCTCCTCATAAATAAAAGAAAAATTTAACTTATACCAGTTTGGAGACCACTGCACTAGTGGGTCAACAGTGCTCATAAAGTGTGTCACAGATGAAGGGTAGAGGCCATGCTCACTCATTCATTCATTCATGCATTCATGTTTGTGTATTTTTAGCGCATTTTCTCATGTATGAAAAAAATGCACTAGTGTGCTCGCCATGTCCGTCCGTCCGTCTGTCCGTCTGTCTGTCCGTCCGTGACTTCACGTTTTCGTCGACGAGAAAATGCGCTCTCTGTCACTCACTGCAGTGAGTACAGTTATATTTTTTACTTGAATGTCATTCACCGGTTGAGTGAATATTCAATCATCTATATTTTATCTTATAAATCAATTGTACTACAAAACAAGAAATTATCCAGTTCATATGTATATTTTCATTATCCAGTTCTATAATTAATCGATTCCATTGGAGGTATAAATGAATCCAAGTTTCAAGATGATAAAACAAAACAAATGTGTGTTGACTGGTTTTGAATTAAATGTATATCGTATATGCATCCATGTCTTTTATATATTATGGATTTAAATTGCGCAAAAACATCAGAAACAAATAATTCGATTTTCGATCTCATGGTTGTCTTATTTCGAGTAAAAAATATAGAAGAAAAAAAGTGTAAAATTATAAATGAATACTAATATAGAATGAAGATAATAAAATATGCACGAATAATAATACATAGTGAAAAAATTAAATTATGGATGAATAATAATATAGAATGATAATATAATAATATAAATGAATAATAATGTAGAATGGTTACATAAAAAAATAGAGGAATAAATCGTTCGTTATCGATTATTATACCATAGACCTCTTTGAATCCTTCTCAGTGGATAGCAGAGCGAAATTAAGGCGTGAACTCGAGGTCCTGCATCACAAGATCCATCAATGGATGACATCAGGCTCGGCTGCTGCATTTATCACGCCTAATTAAGATTGCTGCTCAAATTGCTAATCATCCTCAATGAGACCATCCAATTATCATCCAATTATCTCAACGTCGTTCTTCACAAAGTGGATATGGTTCTCGAACTGAAAGCAAAACCGGGCCATTTAGAAAATATGTATTCCTTTATCTCTGAAGTCTCAGCTAGTCTCGTTTGGAATTGGTTTCAATTTGAAAATAAAAAGGTGTATCTTGACAATTAATGTTATATAAGGAAAATATTTTTGGACTGAATATGAGTTTCCATAAATTGATCCATGTGAAGTCAAAAATTTATCAACAAAAAGAAAACAAAAAGTTGTAACATTATTTTTTCACTTACAGGCCTATTTGAAGCTAATTTAATCAGATTTGCGAATAATTAAAGGAATAAAACATCATAGATATTGTTGCTAAATATTCATTGAAAATCAGTACAGTTATGCAACACATTGTCCAACAATAGATCACTCCCAACAGACCTGATGTTTCTTATCTTAAAATCCAACAGCGAGATGGTGATACACATAAATTAATATAATTCTTGTACATAAAAAGTCATTAAGAATTTTAGAATAGATTCTATTGCGACATACTGCTTTCGGTTTAGTCATTATTACATACTGTTATTTTATTATTGATTATTATATTGCACTGATTATTATATCATACTGATATTATGACGTACTTCAATTGTGTCATATGCGTTGAATAAATCATGTAAATTGCGTTTCATTACAAACATGTAGTTTCTTACATGATTTTTTTTTGCTGTGATTTTCTGGGCGAATAAAAAATTAAGATATAAATCCTGGTTCCATCGCTAAGCCAACATTATAGACTCTAATAAAGACAATTCTTTTAGCGATATTTTGAATTAGGGAGTTTCTGGGACGATTTTTCTTGAATCTATTATTATATTTAGCCTGCCCACTATAGCAAGACTTGTAGTATGGCAAAACATCTTATTACTTCATATAATACAATAGATGTTACACTTGATGTTGCAATAAATGTTGCACTTGATGATACATTCAATGTTACACTTGATGCTACATTCAATGTTACACTTGATGCTGCATTCAATGTTACACTTGATGCTACATTCAATGTTACACTTGATGCTACATTCAATGTTACACATGATGATACATTCAATGTTACACTTGATGATACATTCAATGTTACACTTGAAGCTGCATTCAATGTTACACTTGATGGATACGCTCTTTGCGGGGCAAAACTGGGTCAGGATGACACACACGCACGCCCATCGTACATCGCGATACGGACGACTTTTATTTAATTTCTTTTAGCGCAATATTTGTGCACTATTTATAGTATTTAGTGCAGTATATTTAACGTTGTTAGTTATTTATAATAAAAAAATTATTACTTAAGCTTTTGATTTAAGAATCGGCATACAAACATAGAAAATGACCAAAATACTACCAAAAAAAATTAGAACGGTTGATTTTTTCAAGACACTTTTTATAGGTATCATTCTATTGTATTTTGATACTCAAAGACTACTGCTGTATTTCCGAATCCAGTTGTCATCGCAGTCACATTGGTTGTTTTCGTACAGATTTTTTCTCCGCATACCTCGTTTCAGTTCATTACTCATAAACCGTTGAAATGTTCGTTGAATAGAAACTCCATTTTGCGATGAATGCAGGTCAAGAGTCCCCATTCACCATATTTATTGCCCGCCATTCCAAGATGAATGTAGAGATGAAGCTGCCATGCCACGGCCACGCAGTCGCGTCTGGGCGTCGGTGTCGCGAGGTGCGGTGTGCCTTCTCCGTAGACTTTATCCAGCCAACATAATTTGATATCATAGGCAGAAAAATGCGACTATATTTGGGCTCACTCTAAAAAACAATGTCCATATGTCAGAGAAAGATTAACGAGGATCAAAGTATTGGGCTTTGGAATCAAGTTCAAAGAGGATATCGCGATTGTGTACGCAAGGGAGAGTGTCGTAATTTGTGATATTTACAGTGACCGGAGTGCCTCGCGGTCACGACAGCGTAATAGGGTCCCCGCTCTATCCAGTGAGTATCGACTGACTTAATTTTAACTTCGAATACCTCTAAGCTCGTCATCAAATTTAGAATTTTTCACTTTAAGATGGATTTGTTTTGGTGATTTAACAACGCCCTGAAATACATAGGTTGATGGGTTGGATTGATAAATGTTAATCTTCACATTATGTTCTAACGAGCGAGTTTGATGATTCATTTTAACCTACCAAGATGTTTGATGATTCATTTAACCTACCAAGAGATTTTTAACAGAAAGAAGGAAAGAATTTTTAAAACCTAAAGAAATGAGGTTGTAGGAGATTTAATCTACAGAGAAATTTTAAAGTGAAAGAAGAGGAAGAAGGAGACATTTTTAAAGGTAAAAATTATGAGGAAGTGAAAGATTAGAATGCGTTTTAATTTTGAAGCTTCGTTGTTACCTTCGTTTGACAATTTAGTTACAAAGATTATTTTTTCTATGAATGAAAATTATATGTACATCGTAATGAAATTAAAATCATTGTGGTAGAATAAATTATTATTATATATCAGAGTGATGTCAGCTTTAAGATTATGCAATGCCAGGCCTTTGCAGCTTATAGATATCGTAGAATTTTCAAGGCTAGCTGGACCTCGAACCCTCAACTCACTGCTACAATCTTGGTCATTTTTACCAACCGGCCCATCGGCGAACTGGACATATATTAACCAGTATATTCCTTTGTTTCGGTACTGATCAAAACGTAGGAATATGTTACAGCGAAACATTCATGTTACTGTGAAACTTACTTCTATCAATATATGTAAATTGATAACATATTGAGACTATTGATATTAATTGACAACGATATGAGACAATTGCGTGTTGATATAAGTTTCACTTACCCGGACTATGATTATGTTGTACTCAATGATCTTCGCAAAATTGTAAAAAAGTGAAAAATACCTTGTCCTGTCGAGACCTAACCTCAGTAGAAGGGTGTCGAGCAACATAAAGAAGTAATTTATACACACCTATAACCCTAACTCCATACACTCAAACGA